GGAACTAAGAACAGGTTCAGATACAATGAGGGTTCAAGGAAGGATTTTTAACAGAGGCAGAAACACCATCAGACCTTCGCTTTGGAAGGATGGCAGGTTGGCTGGTGTGGATGACGAATGGAGTGGGATTCGTCAGAGTCCCCGGGCTGGGGCAGGGTTATGGCAAAAGACAGAAGAGGACACATTTAGTTTTCAGAAGTGGCTAGTGGATGTGAAGGGGTCAGAGTGGTTGGGCACTAGCAAGGACTAGAACTCACTATCTAACATACTTTCTTTGAATGCAGTGCTGAGGACACCATGGTGATCAGGTCCCTCCCACCCCATGAGGCTGCTTTGGAGTGAAGAGTCTGGATAAATAACAAGTGTCATGAATGATCTGCAGGAGGGGTCAGGTTTGGAGGCAATCTTCCAGCCATTTCCAAGCCAATATCCCATGAGGACAGAACAGTCACACACCATACCCTTTGAGGTTGTGATCACCTATAAAATGTAGACATGCTTTCTGGAGAAGACTGATGGAGAATGCTCCCAAAGCTGACTTCAACCTCCCCAACCTCTATCCACTCTCCAGCTTGTGATGGTGAGTCATGTGGTAAGAGCCAGGAAGACATTACTCAGTCTGGGTTGGAGGATGTTACCGTGATCTAACAAGTCAGTATCTTAGTTGTAATTGCTTTTAGTGGGGAGGAGGTAGAAGGCAGGGTATGACAATTGTCTTTAAAATCAAAGAACTCTAGAGCCTCATCAGAAACATGTCCCTGACACCACACTGTAGCGTGCTGGGACATGTGTTACCTCCCACTCCCCAAGCTATGATTCTTTTCATCTTATTAAAAATTTTAAAATACCAGGCCCTCCCTGGTGGCGCAGCGGGTTAAAGCACTGCACTAAGAAACTGAAGCCACTTCTGATGAGTTCGATCCCCGCCTGCCCCGGAGGTGACCATATGGCGCGGCAGACCTCTCCTGACCCGCCCACTGCTCCCCTCAGCAGTGTACTTCGTCGATCTGCCTGTTCTGCTCCCCGCTTTGTCTCTGGTGAATCCTCTCACCCTCCGCATCTCTGGCCTGTACCCCAGTTCTGTACGAATAAATAAATAAATCTTTAAAAAATGCTGACTAGTCTCCCTTCTCTGGAGGCTTGTAGTTTCTGCTTAAATGACTACTCGTTAGTTATCAGAAAATGAAGGATGAACTCTAGGGCAGAATTAACTTGGTTAGCACCTTTCCCACCATCAATCAAAGAGTGATTTACTTTGCCATTCAGGTAGGGTCCCTTAATGCCACATTGCTAAGTTGTGAGTGATCACTGCATAAATATAATCACAGGATCACACTTAATATTCTGATGGTTTTATTAACAAGTATATAATACATATTGCATACTGTATATAGTATATGAGGACTGTACAGTACAAATTTATGTTCACAGTTTGACATGACAAAATGTCATTACTGAATTCCCATTGGACTACAGAGTAGAAACAGAGAAGGTACATTAAACATTCACATCTTTAGTTAGAAAGATTACCAAAATGTTCAGTATTTGCAAGTATACTAATGCATGCTAAAAACCTTTACCCATTCAGTCTTATTAGCTTATAAAATATATTACACTTTATTAAAAATTTCTGCATAGTTTATACAAGTATTAAAGTACTGTAAATGTAATAATCCTGCTCACTTGCAGGCACGGTTTAAGAGATGCTAAGCAGAAAGATTACTTTGACCCTCTAACACTAAGTACATAACAGCAAAAAAAAGTGCTAGTATTTGTAAAACATAATGTTGTAGCCCTCGTTTAATGCATGTAAAATGGCTTTGTAAATGTATTGTTTTCATGTGAATTTCATGTGAATTTGCAATCACTTAGAATTGTTAACCTTGACCAAGAAGAGAATAAAGACAAATCTGAGCAATGTCATGGATGACAGTGGTTCCATCAAGATGACTGTACATTTTCAAACCAAATTACTTTAAAACCTTACATCTTTGAGATTGTCTTTAAAACAATCTAATCGGGAATGATGTGCAGAGAAACAGTATCAGCAATAGTCTTTCAAATTCTGCATTAGTGCAACACTGGATAGTGCAGATGGGCGTTTAATAAAATATACACATACATCTATAGTTCCTGTCAATCTGTTCCTAGGCTCTTGCAACTTCTGTGTAGTTAGCATTTCCTTAGTTCAACATGGTATGCGGTTAACACATTCTCCAAACCACTCAATTTAGAATGCTAATGCCCATTTATGGTGTAGATTCACATTCAGAACTCTAAGATATGATGGATTCAGATTTAATTTTTCTGACTTCTTCCCCAAGATGACACTTGAACATCATCACATCAATCAATTCTATAACAAACAGCATGTATACGACACTAACTTCATGTTTACAAAAGTCTTATCAATTTAAAATATTGCAATTAAAATCACCATTGAAACATGGCACATCATTAAAACCACATGTTTAAGGGCATCTTATCTTGTATTTGAGGTCTTCCACAATAACAGCTAAAAATGACTAAGAGACTAAATTTCTCAACTATCATAGCAAAATATAAATGTATATAGATATATAAGGAAAATTTGGGGAGAGCCAATTGTTAACTGAAGTATACAGACCAGACTGGGAATAAATAGCTTCTGTGGGTTGTTTCTTTTAGGTAAAGTGGATACTCATTAATGAACTGTTAACACAATCTAAGCAAGCTGAATAGTAATGAGTCTTTGCAGGGTCTTGCTGATTCTTTTGAACAAAATTTAAATATGCCATAGCAAGCACATCAAATTTTTAGAGAACACATGAAGCTATTAACTGGACTCCAACTCAAATCTTATTCAAAGATCAACTCTGTCCTTTCTTGCTCCCTTTCCCACCTTCTATATGGGCTGTAACACACACAAATGGATCATCTCCATCATAACAAAAAGCTCCTTGCATTCTGACTAAATTCTTCAGTGTGTTAAAGAACCATTTCAAGAAATAAACACTTTGGCATGAATGTGACAAGCATTTACAATACCAACAATGCCTGCTTTTTCCAAGAGCCAAATTTTATCCCTCAATTCATGTCATAGTCGCAAAAAAAAAAAAAAAAAGCCCAATTAGGATGTTTTAATATTCTAAACAAATTTTGCAGTGCTTAAAAAAAAATAATCAAAACCAAGTGCCAAGATAACAAATCACTTTGCATTTCTCAACTCCATTTCCTTCAGTTGGTTCAGAGGGCTTAGGGGTGGGATCTCTCAGGTGCAGTCCCTACAACTAACTTTTATTAACAATAGCGCCATCAAAGTATGCTCCCCACACAATTTGCAGGCCTCCAGAATAATTTGTTTACTGATGGTTAAAAACAAACAAACAAAAAAACAATTAAGCAAAGTATTCCTCCCAGTTAAGGTTGTGTTGGATCCTGAGTTGTGGCTGGGATGAATCTTCAGGATTCCTCCAGTCTTCTCTCTTCTCCATCCTTTGTCAAGGGGTGAAGGCGCATTTGGCATATGCACCCACAGTTGACCACCAAAGCCCACTTTTAAATGTAGGTCTGATGGCATTTCTATGCATGGATTATTTGTATTGGCATTTAGACCATGGTGCTCAAAAGCCTGCTTTTGAAAAACTTCCTACAAGTAATGGTGCTTTTTATCTTCAACATAAACACGAGTCATTTTCAGTTTGTTTTTCTGACAGGATACTTGATAGTGATGGGAGATCACCAGCTCCAATACTAAACATTAGGGAATTTTTGAGCTACATGTGAGAATCCCTGAACTGTGGTTTTCTACACTGTTTATCTGTCCCCCAAATAAAGGTATGTGTGCTTCACGACTAGTACTATTTACAGATAGTGTCACTTGGGTTTTGAATGGGGTGAATCTACGAAAGCAATCAGCAGATGCTCACTGACAGAGGACAGCCAAGATGGCACCTTCCAGCTCACGCAGAAGAGTTTCTGTAGAAGAGCTACGTGATTAATTTGGTAAGGATCACAACCATCACTCGGCATTTCCCTGTTTGCAAAAAAGCGGTGAGGAGGTTGGCTAAAAGAACGTCCATCCATTTTCTTACCCAAAAAGGTCCTGCCCACTATGGGCAATTATTTTTGAGGTGCCCCTACTGTTCATGCTTGCTGAGGCACATGAAGGACGTTGCAGGAATGGAAGTGGGTGGGTGGGTGGGTGAGCACACCAATGCCTGGCTTTGCTGTGTGGGCCTGTTCAGTGGAATCTGCATGGAGGCGGAAGGTCTAGAAAGCGCTAGAGCCCACTGGTGAGGAAACCTGACTGAAGACTCCCCGCCCGGGAGGGACGGCCGACTTCCTACTCTTCCCTATGGCCTCCTGTGCTCAACGCTCCTTCTCTTGGCTACATGCTACATGTGAGTACAGCATCCTTCCCTTCCACTGATAAACATCACCCACTTAAATCTGCATCTCTGGCTCATCTCCCAGCAGTGGCAAAGACCTCCTTACTAGCTGCAGGCATGAGGGAGGAGAGAGGAAGTGATAAATCCAGGCTGACAAGCAAGATTTGTTTAGGGCAGTGGAAAAGTTGACTGCACTCCCTGGAAATCTTGCCACACTTGCAGCTAACCTCTGAAAGGGTCCATCCTTCTCTTCACTGTCAAGCACAAAATGTGATCACGGGCACAGAGGTATGAATGTCTCTGGCAAGGACTAGCAGGCTGGATACTGTATTTCTAATACATTTACTTTGACATTCTTTTGAGGAGTACATGGAGAAACTGACAATCCGTAACGTTAGTTTACATGTTCCCTTGTTCTCATTACATTAAACGTATCTGTAAGAAGGGTTTGCTTAGCATCCCCGGAAAAAAAAAGTGTTCACATTCTTTAGGTCTGACCCGTGGTAAGGAGAGGGAGGATTAGAAAATATCTAGTACTGACCATATGGAAGGTTGAATGATAGAAATTCAGAGATTCAGACCAGCTGAATCAAAATTAAAATGTACATGTAAAAAAATGAGTTAGATAATGGGAGGGAGGACAGAGAGAGAGCCGGGAGGCTGGGAGCCGCGACGAGGTGGGAGATGGAGGCGTTCAGACGAGCATGTGGCGTTTCCTATGGAGGGCGAGATGGTCAGAGCGCGAGAAGCTGCGGTCACAGTCTGGGCACTGGAAAGGCTTGATTCCAGTGTGTTTTCGGAAATGCCTTGTTAGTTCATCAGACCGTGCAAACTTCCACGTGCATCCTTCCCACGTACATTTGTAGGGTTTTTCTCCTGTAAAAAGGGAAGAGGAAGGGTTAATTTCCCGTGAGCACAAGGATTTTAAAGAGCAAAGACAACCTAGTTCAGAAGCCCATTTAGCTCCAAGACACGTGCCTCCATTTACCCCTCTCCAGTAACGCGTCTTTTAACTACCCAGGACCAGCAGGAAAAGGCATTAGTCCTCTCCTTTTAAAATAAAAGGAGTCATTTTAAATATTAATATTTATCTACCTTGCTGTCCAAAAACTGGGATGGGGAAATGAAGAGTTCTCAAAGCATAAAAGCATTAAATTATGAAGTCTCTATTAACTGAAATGTCTGTCAGGAATGTCAGCATCTCAACATCTTATCTTTGGTTAGTCAATAACAATTATGCCTATGCACAATGCTTTAATTCAGAAGCACTAAAAATACAGTAGTATCTTCCCATCTTGTCAAGAAGCCAGATTGCTACAACTCCCCCGGTGGGGTAATGGTAACCCGCAGATGAGCAACCACACACATTCCCAGGAAAAAGAGAGGGCGCCATGAAGCAGACCCGTACCAATGAAATGGTGGTTGATGGCAATCTTACAAGGCTAAATTAGTAATAATGGATACTGCGTATCACAAATGAACTTACTATCTCCTGCCCTCTAAAACCTCACAGAATTGCCATTCTTTGGCAGCCCTGTGAGATATTTAAAATTTGCATTATTTGCTTTACTACAATACATGTTAAGCAGTATTTTTCTTACATATGAATTATCATCCAAGCAATCAATGTCTTTTTTTAATCTTAGCTGGGAAGTCGGCAATATTCCCCTCAGGGTCCCAGTAAAACCCCGGGATGCTTTCATGAATCTGACTGGGTGTTTCACAAGCACAGCACCTGCCCTCATCACTCATGGAAGCTTTATGACATGGTCAAAGAACTGCATAGGCTGAATTTCCCTCAGCTTCCTCTACCCAGGATTCACTTCTGCTTTGCCAGACGCTGCTTTTTCTCTTCCAAACCCCAGACTGTCACCTCTCTAAATCTTCCTAATAAGAATGACTCATGAGACCAAAACCAAAAACCCCCAAAGAACTACATTCTAACTGACGGAAGACAATGAATACTGAGGTAAGTGCTGCTTAGTAGAGTTTCACATTGAAGAGTTTGATGTTAGGGCAGATGAAGCTTACGGTAAACTGCTGCCATCAATGCACCACAGTTAATCAGGCTCCTCAAGACATTTCTGTACAAATTCCTTAAGTTTTGCTGCAGTGTTTACAAGCACAAAGAGAAGTTTCCTGCTTTCTTTACCTATGTAACACCTTTCTATAAGCTCTGGCAATTCTGTACCGAGCAAGATGGAAATTGTCGTAGAACAAGCCTGGCACCCAGAAATTCCTTCAATTTGAGAAGACAGTAATTACCCCAATTCTTCACTTTTCAAATTCAGTGACAGTCTTCCATTGGCATTCTATTTGTATCAACTGCTGTGCTTATTTGTTCTGCCTAGCAAATTGCTTTTTTGCTACTGTGAATGTGATAATACGTACTGTTTAATAAATGAATGCCTTTGTCTCACCAAAGTGGTGAACTTTGACTAAACAGGCTCTTGGCTAAGGGCAATTCCCCTTGTGTTCCAGGGACGGCTCCTTTCTGTCTCTCACACTTACTACCGAGATTACTACAGATTATCATTGTTATGGCGTGAGCCTTGATATTTCATTTTGATAACCCTTGAAAGCTAGAACATTTGCCTTTAACATTTCATTCTAATAATTCTTATGAAAGATGGGGTCTTTATTTGAAGTACCTGTATGTGTTCGTCTGTGTGCTTTCAAGTGAGAACTTTTAGTGTACACTTTATTGCATCCGTCATAATCACATCTGTGTATCCTCCGCTTCCTTTGGGTATCTGGAGACTCCACAGGTAAAGGTCTCTTCCCAGGCTGTACTATGACGGAAGGGTGATTCCTATGAAAGTCAATGTCAAGTGCAAAATGTTGAGCAAAAGCCTCCTCCTTTTCATCAGTCTACCAAATGCATCAACAACACCGGACAAAACAAACAAACAAAAAACCCAACAAAAGAATAAAACAACAAAAAGAAATGAGCTGATCAACCCAAGCAGCACTGGTATATTCATTCAACAAACATGGAGTGAGCACCTACCATGAGCCAGGCACTGTGCTTGGCACCAGGACACAAAGATGAATAAAAACAGGGTTCCTGCCCTCGAGGAGCTCACACTCTAGGGGGAGACAGACATGTAGATAAGTAATGACAGCAGAAGGTTAGGTGCTATGCGAGAGGCAGGTGCGAAGTGCTAGGAGTCTCTCCTTCAATAAACACTGGCTTGTTTACAGAATCCTGTGGTACTAGACATCGCTCAACACTATGAGGTTGTATATTATTTCGGGCTGCCCTGAATTCCTTTTATTGCTCCTTAGTGGCAAATGTAAAGGGTCAAATTTCTAACTGCTGGGCAACCATGCTCAGACACGCCAGGTTGACAGACGGTCCATTGGGATCTCTTACAGATGGCCAATTTAATGGGCTGTTCAAATGCTGGGGTTCCCTCCTTCCATGTGCCCCCAAATGTTGGCACTGTTGTTTTCACAAAGTGCAATGCTTATGGCTGGGAGAACATGGGGCCCTGCCAGCAGTCAGAGAGGAAGCCCCTCACCCACAATCCAGAGCACTGGGCATCTCCCCACCTGCCGAGTGGTGGCTCAGATGCCGCCCATTCCTGCATCTGCACCCCTTTCTGGAATGGGTCTGAGATATAATCCTGTTAGACTCTGCACTCTGAAATTCCTGTTTCAGAGGAGAAGGTGGTGGGGAGAACAGATGACTCCTGGGGCCATGACTGTAGTTTTCTCAGGTTCCCCTGCTGATTAATGAAGTGACTAAGAAGTTCTAATCCATTCATTTGGCTTCCTCATGACTGACCACTTGATGTTACAAGTCCACATGGCTGGCCTCCAACTATAAGGAACGATTTCTCTGTACTTTAAATTTGAGCCTAGTGGCCTTACAGTGCTTTAAATACTGTATGTTCAAAGCTGAATGTTTTGTAGAAGTGTGAATGGGGAGAAAAAGGATTGGTGAAAAGGAGGAAAGGAATTTGATGAAGTCAGACACTCAAGTTCGAGATGAAAACAAAATCAGCCATAAAAAAAATCAAAAGGGGTCCCTGAAGTCAAATCTTTTTAAAATTTTGGTAAAAATTTAAAAGCATGTCCCTTATCCATCACTTTTTTTGGGGTATATTCATTTTAAATGACTTTATTTCTCATAGCTTATTCACTGGTAAAGAAAACTGTCAGCTTTGGGTATCATTTTAAACCTGTCTGCCCAAAGCTTAGAGGATCTATCCAGAAGAATAAAACAGCCCAGTTCAGAAGCATGGGAAAGTGACATGAAGGATGGGTTGGCAGAGGGGAGGGACAGGACTTAATATTAACACACGAAAGCAAAAAGAGAAAATAGCAGTTTATGCAGCAGAATTATTTAATTGAAGGAAAAGAGTTGTCAGCTTCTTTTTAACTTTCAACTTTTAATGCCATTGATTTAGAATGTTTTATCATAGGAAGTCAAATACTGGAGGAAAAAAAAAAGGAATGGTTAAATGTATCTTGTATGCACCTGGGCACCCAGGTGTCTCTCAGTTGTTATGGGATCTCACCCTCTTTGGTCTACTCACTGCTCATTTTTAGAGATTGTGGGGCTCGTAACCAGCAGCTAGCTACACTAGCTATTAACGATCCGATACCGGCTTGGCATTAAGCCCCTGCCCCTCTTAAATTGGTTACAATTCACATGTGTAACTAAACTAAACAGGGAAATGCAAGCCTCAAAGTTTTTATACTAAGTACATTTTTACCTGCATAAATACATATATAACACAAGGAATTTGATAAATATTTGACTATCAGAAAAGCACCACAAAGCTGTAACTTCATGATCGAGCAAATGGATTTCCAAGCTGTGCTTTAAGCTCTGCCTCTGGAAAGGATGGATTTCCTACGGCGAATATTACTGGGGCTGTCTCATCACAATGGCTGTACGGACTTGGTTTCCAGTGACTCTTCCCTGGCTAGTTGGCTTCCTATGTGGGCTGCAACTGGGCACATTCCAGGACATTACTCAATCACATCTGTGAGAATGATTTGCAAAGTACATGTCCTAGTTGTGACTATTCTGTACAGTTTTTTTGCGTGGCAAAATGCAATCTTAGGTCAGCATTAAAGTAAGCATATTATTCATTAATCATTAAAGCCATCAAGCTTGAGAGCATCAAAATAACATTACTTAAAATAAGAGAAAAAATTTTCTTTTCATTAGCATTCAGAGCACAGAAAGCCTTCAACTATCCTTATTCTGTAATGCTTTACACTATTTTTCACAACAATCTAAACTTTGGAATAACTCCTTTCACTCAGGGGACTTCTCCCTACATAGGCAGCTGGCTTTATTTGGCCTTATAGCATTTTTCTCATCACCTGTGCAGGAACAATTACAAGTGGTATTACCAGTTACCTTGCCAGAGATGGCTGTCAGCACAAAACAAGAGATAACCCACCCTTCCAGATGTGTCCATTTTAGTTATTCTTCACCAAGTATATGAGAAGATGCAATTGGTTTGCTATGGACAAGACAGCAGGAAAGCACTGGGGGTGGGGGAAGGGCCACAAGCCCAGCCCCCCTCTGCTCTTGAAAGTGAGATTGCAGGCCAATTGTCTAATGCTTGGCTCATCAGCTATTTGCTGACTCCCACATGTGTGCTATGGGGATGAAATAATTCCTCTGAAAACTGAAAACACTTGGAAAAGTTTCATTTGAGGGGGAAGAAGGTACTGAGCATTATCAAGGGTAATGGCCTACTCCAGACACACGCTCTTCCTGTTGACGTGGCTGGGTAAGGTTCATTCTCTGCTACATCTATCAGGAAATACAGGACACCCCCCTCCTACCCCCCACAATATATCATTCTTGGAACCATGGGCAATGAACACACGAGACACTGTGAATTGGGATTAATATGGATGCGACTAGAATGTGTGTGAAATTCCCAAGCAGAGTTGTTTTAAAACAGATCATTTACATTGGGTCACAGAGTTGTGTTAAGGAATGAGGTGCAGAACGTTTGTTCAAGTCAGAGAAAAGATGATAGGGAAAGAAGATGCAGACGCAGAAGAGATAATATTTGTTGCCCTTGTCTGGGAACTGGCCACTCAATCCAATGTCGAAAGCACAAGACCATTACAGCAAGAGAAATAATTACAACAATAATCAAAAAGAGGTAACAGAGGCAGCAAGGGTAAGTGGCAGCAAGACCCAAGGTCATGTATTCAGTGGACAACAGAGCTGGGATCCCAAGGTCAGATCCAAAGTTCGTGTCGCTCCCTAGAGGGAGGTCCCAGTCTCACCGGCAGGGCGCGTGAGACTTCCAGCACCCCTCGGTTGCCTGGTTGCTGGCCCAGGCATGTACCCCCTCCTGGGCAGCGCCAAAGACATTCATGGGGCAGAGAAGCGAGCAGCAAGGAAAGAGCCCTTCTGATGCTGAGCTCCAAGCACACCAGGGGCAACATTCTGCTGCTACCCGTATTTATAGACATATTGGGGCGAGGGGCTTTCTTGGACTGAACGTTTTGATTAAAACAAGTGCCAGCACAGCAAGTCACTCTATCAGAAGGGACAACTGGAAGGATAATGTATCTCGACAGGAAACAATTTCATGATTCAGCCTTCAGTAGAATAGAGTCAGATTCAATCCACAAGAGAATGAAGACTGCAGGGAAATTAAGCGGATGTAGCCTAAAGGGGTGAGAAAATAAAAATGATTTCTAGTGTATGGGGAGGTGGCAAAATGGGTGACCAATTCAATGAAAAGTTGGCATAATTGCCGTCACGCCGTCTACGTAAAGCATGTAGTTTTGCATTCTCCCAGCTTGCGCAGTGGATGCCACTTGCTGCTTGGGAATTCACATCACACCACACACGGAAGCTTGAGCTTCTGCTGCAGCCCCCCGAGAGGTGCGTGGCCAGGCTGGGTAGATGTAAATATATACTTACTCTTGCAACAGTGCTTGCGGGGGGGACACAGAGTTCATTAATGGGGGTGACATTTCTTCAGGATAATAATCTGTCCTCTGTGGTTCAATCCCAGGTTCTATTTTAATTTTTTTCTGTAATATAGGCTTCTCATATGATTCAATTACAGGAACTAAAAAAGAAAATATGTAAAAGTCACCACAATTAATTTGCCACTTTCGGCTAAATGCTTATTGCATTTCTATTTGTAAGACTACTGAGTATTTTGCCAGCAAGCAGCAGATAAAGGAAGCTGGACGTGTAAAACACTACTCTGAAATGCTTTCTTCATGACTTTTGTTATCTTCCTTTATCTCTAGAGTCTTCTGCCTAAAAACTTCTAATAAACAAGCCGGCTTTTATTAATCATCCGTTATCACTATGATCCAAAAGTCTGTAAGTCAATAAAGCAAAATAAAAAGACAAGCTTCTAACTATCCCAAAGTTGACAATTATATAGTGAAAGGAATCATCTCATGGCAATAAACAGACAGCCTGACTCCTGGGAGCTCTCCCAATATCAACACTTAAAAGAAAAAGGAAATGCCTCGGGCAGATTCTAAGACAAACACAGTATTTCCTTTTAAGAGAGTTCAACAGCTCTTGGCTCTCTGCTGCTAGTTCCCTCACCCAGACTGTCTAGGAAGACAGGCAGATACTGAGTGAGCAAGCGACTGTGTGCAATTTACCTTGCATGCTACTATTTGAATTCTCCATCTCCTCAGACAAGGAGACCATGAGCGGCTGCTGGAGGTGACTGGTGTACATGAAGGGGACAGGCTGCACCACGACCGGCTGGATGACCGGCAGAATCCCCGGGCTCCGAATCCCGTGCCGGGAGAGGGCAGCGGCCATCACCGGTGGCATAGACAGCGGGACCCCGAAGGGCTGTACTCCTGGGGGAGGAGGCGAGTACTTTTTCATCGGTGGGCTGGAAGAAGGCATACTCAGTCCAGGTGAGGCTCTCCGGTGCGAGGTCTGGAACTTCAGGGAGGAAGGAGAATTCCCAGCAGAGGGTGGGGAACTCCGCTTGTTGACAGTGAGGTCCACGGGCTCCATCTGCATCCCGTGCGCCAAGCCTTCCGGGGTCTGGAAGAACTTATCAGGTAACGGCGTGGAGTAGATGACCCCATACTTGCTGGGCTTTATCGACTCCATGTAATTGGATGGATATGACTGTTGGAAAGGAGAAAAAGTATAGGTTACCCAATGTGCGCTTGAAACACACCTTAAGGTGAAACTGTACAGGGACTTTCGATTACGTGAACTCGAATAAGCTTTATCCTTTACAAAAAGGCTATGAAGAGCAAACATGTGAACTAAGGTTAATGTGGTAACTGTTCACAAGAAAAATCACGAATCATCTTAACTCTAAGATGATTCCTGAGTCTAATGTCAATGCTGAGGCTGAGATTTGGCACCATTTTTTTAAAACGATTTATTTATTTCATCATACAGAACTGGGGTACAAGCCAGAGGTGCAGGGGTGGTGAGAGGGTTCCCCAGAGGCAGCGTAGGGAGCAGAACAGGCAGATCGACGAAGTAGCTGAGGGGAGCAGCGGGCCAGTCAGAAGAGATCTGCTGCCCCATGTGGGTCACCTCCGGGGCTGGGTATTGAACTCATAGTGAAGCAACTGTGGCCAGCTTGCAGTGCTGCGTCCCAACCTGTTGCACCACCAGGGAGGGCCCGATTTAGCAATGTTTTAAAATAGGTTTTGGGGACATTGGCATTAGGAATCAGGCTCAGGGTTCACCAAGAATCAGTCAAGCCAGCCTTGCTACCTTTGTGATAGGGATTCTTTTTTTTTGGAAAATTTAATTTATATTCTCTCCCCTGCCCCCCCAACTGAATTCATTCACAAAAAAAAACTCAAGAAAAAAAAAAAGAGTTAAGTCATCCATAATCAGATGAAGTTTCTTAGTTGGCAAGACTCCTCTTTAGCTTTGGTGCCCTTCACACCAGAGAGGGGCTACTGTTTCTCAGGTACACTTTCGTGTATTACGGAGCTGGAGCTGCATGGCACTGCTTGTTTAGTGGCTGAAAAGTCCTGGTTTCAGCACCAAGAGAACCTGCACCATCCCAGGAACCTCCTCAGTCTCAGGCCCGCCAAGATGGTGACTTGCCGAACACATCCATCTACTCAGGCAGGTAACAGCCCACAGACATCAATTATGTCCTTGGCTGCAACATGTTTGTGGTCTTACTCACAGTTTGAAAGACGCTATCGATGAAAAAAGGACACGGGCTGAGAGTGACCTGCACACAAGCTGCGGCCAGTGGCCCCACTGATAACAACCTAGTAAGATGCAGAGAGGCAGAATCCACCTGTGTTCTCCCGAACCCAAGCTCTGCTGACCAGGGACTTAAATGACCTCCCAGTACCTTTCTCGTGCTATAAGGATAATCGAACTTTCAGCTACCTCTTTAAATAAACGGAAATCGGTTGTAATCACCGCACACGATGGATACTGCCTTTGACCATGAAGTTCACTGAAATTAGTTCTGTTCCTTAACTGGGGGGGGCGGGGGGGGGAACATCACAAAACACTAACTTGGTTGTAGAATTCTTTTTCTGAAATTAAACTCAACCCAAGTTATTCTCTTTACTTGGAAGCATTTTAGGGAGACTGAAAGTTCCCTTTAAAAATGTACTCAGGGCCCTCCCTGGTGGCACAATGGGTTAGGATGCAGCACTACAAGCTAGCCGCAGCAGCTTCACTGTGAGTTCGATCCCTGCCCCCGAGGTGACCCACATGGTGCAGCAGACCTCTCCTGACCCACCCGTTGCTCTCCTCAGCAGTGTACTTCGTTGATCTGCCTGTTCTGCTCCTCACACCGTCTCTGGTGAATCCTCTCACTGCCCCTGCACCTCTGGCTTGTACCCCAGTTCTATGTGAATAAAATAAATATTAAAAATAAATAAAAATGTACTTATGTTAAAAAGCAATTCTATAAAAGAGAGCAATGACTAACGAGAGATGAGAATGCAGATGCTATCTAGGAGATTAGGGTCAAACTTGACAAGGTGTAGCCAATCTCCTTCCAGGAGGTCCTGCGGTTACCACTGAGTAGGATTCAGTGAGAGAGCCCATGTAATCGGCTCGGTTCACACTGTGGTCTAGGAATCCCCTCTCTCCCTTTCTCACACAAGAAACAGGCAATGCACTTGGCTTTGATCCTCCCACACAGGACTTCCCAGACCCCACCTGGCATCTTGCTAAAACTAAAATGCAGATTCTGAATTACTGAGGAATGGCCCCAGGTGCATAAACCACCCTTTGAACGCCTGGTTCTCGGCGACACAGATGCAGGTTAAAATAGGAATTTACAGTATTAAAGTTTGGTGAACTGATTAAATACGTTTTTAAGGTAGGCGTTCTCACTAACGATAGTGCTCGAGAACAAGAGCATGACGGATATAAAAATCAAGAAACTGCTTATGGGCATTACAACCAAGATGGAAAAGTACACATAATGAAGAATGATGTAAAATACTAAAATAAAATCAAGAAATATGTAACCTGGGTGCTAAAGTTTTTGTGTTTCAGATCAGAGATCAAACAAGACTACCACAGAAGCACGCTACAAGGGGCCCAAAACCTACAGTCATAAATACGTTCTAGCTTAAACATTAAGAGATTACAAGTTTCATGAATAAAAACACTATAAATCACATACAGTGAATGGGGACTTAAGGAAGTAATCAAGTAACAGAAGAGGAAAAAGAGCTCCCCCTACTTCTGAAGTTTAACTTGCTGCATGTAATTTTCTAAAGGGAGAAGTTCGCTGTTCTTGTCCGTGGGGCAAGCTTAAGAGAAGTGGGAATTAAAATCTGGGAGATTGGGGATTTAATGACAGTGTCAGGTTTGCCAAGCCATAGAGACAACCACACATTAAGCTCGGTTTATAAACCTCATTCAGTTTTGCTGAAGCGTCTGCTTTCCAGTGAGTCTGCCCTGACCCGGGCACTCATTTTGTGAGGCCCCTGCACTCGTGCAAGGAGACACATTTGGGCCCAGCTGAGTACACAGCCTTTTCCCGTCCGGCTGCCTCTCCAAGAGGTGAAGAAATGTGGCTTCTCAAATTGTCTCGCTGGCAAATTTCACAGCATTGTTTACCGGAACTTTCTATAAGATGTGTTTACTTTAATGATTTGGGTGGAGCACAGAAACGCCTGCAATCAGTTTCCAACAATCAGGTTTTCCACCCTGTAGGGGCCAAGGCTGGGTTTGCTTGGGGCGTGTGCCTTGGGTGGGGTGACCCTGCTAATAGCTGCTTCCTTCAGGCCTGCCCCTCGTCTAACACGCAGCGCCAATCAGTGTGGGCTGCTGGCCGCGTAGCCTGGTCAAAGGCAAGTGCTGATGAAGCTCAACGAGGCAGGCACAGCCCTGGCCAGTGCGGGACATCCTCCAGGCCTCCATTGTCCACTGCATACTCGGGGCAGAGCGAGGGTGGCAGTCGGTTCACTTTTCAGGAAGATCTGTTATTAAAAAGTTTTCCCGTGTGGCATGAGTTAAGTCTCAGCACTATGAAGCTATCAGCAGCCACTGCAGTACTGGTTCCATCCCCGGCTGGCGAGCTGACCCACATGGCGCAGCAGATCTCTCCAGTCTGCCCACTGCTCCCCTCAGCAGTGTATTTCAGCAGATCCGCCTGTTCTGTACCCCACTCTGTCTCTGGTGAACCCTCTCACCTTCCGTACCTCTGGCCTGCACCCCGGCTCACCTCAGTATGTATAAATGAATAAAATAAACATTAAACAACAAATGCAAAACATATCCAGTGCTCACATCTCCATGCTGGGTGGAAGATGGAGGCCTGGACTAGACGCTCAGTATATCTATGATGAATGAAGTGAATTCACACCCACTCTTTTCAGTGCCGACCAGACAAAAGATAACACCGATTTCTTTTGATTTTGAAAGATGACTTGAGAATTTCAGTCGTGTCTTGCTCTATGGGAATCGTTTTGGTGAATTTTCCATTACGAGGCAGCTGAAGTGGCCGCAGGGACTGTCTCATGGAACATGGACAAGTCTGGATCCACCAGCCACGGATATGGGGGAAAAGCGAGCGTCGGGACGGGGCTGAGCAAGTCGAGGCATCTTCCCCCCCAGGGTGGGGTGACAAGGGCGGGAGGGTGTGGTGCTCCACAAACACTGGAGACAGGGCAAATGCCACGCCCCTCTGTGCCAACAACAGTGAAAGTTCTTTCTCCTGGGCTCAGGAAAGTTTTTGTTAGAACAGAGCAGGGGAACGGCTGATTTTTATGGTTTGTCAATCTATAAGGAGGCGGTGAAGAGTTTCCTCATGTAAGAAGGCTAAAAAGGAAGAGAAAAAAAAAAGACTTTCCTCAAAATGAATCTTCCTATGGGACTAGGCTAAGAAAGAATACTAAATGTACAAAATGATGTAAAAATAAACTATTATACTAAAAAGAAAAAAAAGAAGAATACTGTTAAAACATGTTACCTTTCTGACTTCCTAAATTCTTTAATTCTCAGCCCTTACTCGGGAAGGGTATTGGTAAAAACAGTCCTTAGATTTACAATCTGTCTCTTATTTTACAAGTTACAATCTCCAATTTTACAAATGAAAAACAGGGTACTGCAGGTGGTGGCAGATAACTGAGGCCCACCTGGCCTGGGTGGGTGGGCTCCCTGTGCGACTGGGTCTTGCACACTAAGAACATCTAAGCTCAAGGGCTAGCAGAAGGGCATGGTGGCTTTCGCTGAGAGAAATGATCTTTCCTTAAACTATAGCAAAATACCACATAGGCTGATGGCCAGTTTTGACTGATCACTCCTTTTTGGGGTGGCTGGGGTTGGGGTGGGGGCAGATTGAGTTACTGTGAAATATTTATTTCTACATGGGATTAAAAACATCTCACAAATGTAGGAATAATGACTTAAATGGGCAACGGCTTCAGCCTTCATGATTTAATTTAAAAAGATACAATAAATTATTTTCAATACATTCTACCCACAAAGGCAGAAAAGATGAAATCTCAAGATTTGTGAGTGGAAACGCAAGCTTTTTATTTAATTTAGTTAAGTAAAATAATCACAAAATCCTAATTTCCAGGAGTTTCATTCAGTTAACTGAGGCTTTGCTGAACTAAGGGAGAAAATCTTCAATGTAAGGACTGACGCTAACTTCTGATGAAAAGATCTCATTAAATTCTAGAAAGCATTACTTGAATTTGAAAACTAGAGCATGAAGGAGAAAGACCACTGATTGCAAAACAAGCTGTTCATATTTTAACCTCATGTATTAATATGTCACAGAATTACAAGCATGACTGTTACTTTTGTTTTGCTCCCACTTTTTTCAGTGAAGTGTCCTTTGCACTTAAGTATATCATACTAACTTAGCAAGGTGGATCAGCCATTTTCCATGGCTGGCTGGAAGCCCTGAGAGCGTACTGAATAGTAAAAGGCATCGTGGATGGGTCTCCATTGTTCATGAAATTAGTCATATTCTTGGGTACCAAAAACCTGTTCATATTTCAAGCATATAATTATGGGGAAATTTTATACCTTAGTCTTCCCCCAATGCAATCGTGTAAGAGCAGGTGAGAAAAGTTGCTGAACATGAGAACAGTATGAACATAAGTCTAATTTGTTTTTCGGATTAATAAAATCTGATTGCTCATTTATTATCCTACCCAGATACTCCATGACCCAGTTACCATGCGGGAATGTAAATGTTATTTTCTGAAAGCCACTGTGACTTTTTCATTGTACACAGTGGTAAACACTTCACTGACTTAGTAATATCCATGGCGACTCAGTTCCAAGGGCCTCGGAGTGACCCTACATCTTGTGCAAACATTTTTGGCTTCCATCTCCATAGCCAATGCGCAAGGATGATCTAATTTTGCAAGTGTGTCATTACCAGCCTTCAGATACACAACTCAGGCCAAGATTTCCCCCTGGTGGATATTTTTCCAAGCCGATGGAAGAAAAGAACAAGATAAAGGAGTGTTGCCTTGTTATTAACATTCACTAAACCCGTACTCCTGCAGTTTCAGCTGCTTCCTGCTTTGAAGTCAGCCCCCCTTCGTGGTCGCCATCTGCCATCTGCTGTACCTGCATAAACACCTGGACCAACTACTAGTCCCCTGATGCCCTAAAAGCACCCATGGAGGCCTGGCTTGCCGAGGGGCTACTTTAGCATTTGGGTGTTGAAAAAGACCACGAGCCTGGTCATTCCCTCCTCGCCTCAGACTCTTCCAAGTGAAACGAAATTCTGTGCTCACTGCCAGGTTTTCTCCACTCTCCGTCGCAGGTAGGCAAGGCGGCTGTAATCAGTTTTTAGGCAAATTGTTTTATTCACGCTATGCTTTTACAAACAGACAGGGGACTCTCCCCCACCCCAGGTTCCATCTCTTTCATCATCTCTTTCATCAGTTCCATGAGAGACATCTATATACTATGGGAGACATAACAGAGTATTTTTTTAAAATTTTAGTATTAAAAACAAAAGTAGGTGTTCAGTTTTGGAAAACTTACCACCGAGACAGGGTCCATGGCCTCTTGCTTGACAGGAACCGGGTCGAACATGAGCATTCTCTTAGGTAAGCTTTCTAGGGTGTTCTGGTGTATGGTCTAGAAAACACAACAAAGGTAACTTTAAATATAAAGTGGTAAAAGCAATATATAAGATTCTTCACTCCCTTCCCCACCCCTTTGTTCTGGAATGGCTGGAATGTTTTCCTTACCTATGAAAGATGCCATTTTATATAATTAAAACCAGACTCCGTGGTCAGAGCCCGAAGAGTCAACTGGCATTTCTAACTCAAATACATAGACCCAGACATTTCTATACAATGTGTACATCCCTTTTGGGCTGCAAAGTTTGCTGTGCAACTCAACTAAAGGTATTATATCTCTCTCTTGTTTATTATAGAAAAATCAAGGGAAAAAAAAAAGACAAGCAAAATGAAAACCTAGAACTAACCAAATATATCTTTGCTTTAATACCTTACTTGGATTAGTGTCTGCACTAGTCTGCAAATGGGATGACAGCACAGTGAAATTCACTTCAGTTTATTGGAAAATGTTTCCCGTCTATGAGAATAGATAAATTGTTATTCATTATTTTTAAAATTAGGCATTTAGGCTGCTTCTACATGTTCAGTATTCCACATAGCAATGAGCATCTTTGTTTTGTTTGACCTTCTCCTGCACATCCTTAATTAATTTCTTAAAAGATTTATTTATTTGCGCATACAGAACTGGGGTACAGGTCAGAGGTTCAGGGGTGGTAATAAGATTCACTAGGGGGACTCACAGAGTGGGAAGCAGAACAGGCAGATCTAGGAAGTGCACTGCTGAGGGGAGCAGCGTGAGAGACAGGAGAGGTCTGCTGCGCCATGTGGGTCACCTCCCTGGCCTGGGATCGAACTTGTGCTGAAGCTGACTTTTGTAGTGCTGCACTTTAACCCTTTGTGCCACCAGGAGGGTCCCATCCTTAATTTTTAGGAAAAAAATTTTTCTGGTGGCAACTTTTTGGGTGAAAAACATGTACATTCTGATATATGATCCAGCAGTGATGTTCTATTAATTTCCATCAGCCAAATAGAACCCACTTCCCAACATTTCTACCAGGAAAACTGTTCCAATCTGTTAGTATCAACATGGCAAATTATTTTCCCTCTAAATTGACTTTATTACCAAAGTTGGCTTCCCCCATATTTATTTACCATTTACATTCTTCTCTTGAGAAATGCCTATTCAGACTTTAAACTCACCTCCAACTTCTTAGTGTTCCTAAACACCTTTTATTTGTGCAAAGCATCAGCTTGGATGCCCTCTATTTTCATCTTATTAGGAAACAAATCAATCTTTAGGAAACAAACCATCTTGATTCTGTCCAGTCTTTCTCTTTCACTCTATTGCTCTGTTCCTGTTACTCCTTCATTTTCTTGTGTTCTTTACTTGTCACTTCAAGCACTGATCTAGATCAAGCCAACTGCTTTTTCACAGGACAAAATGTTCAGTCTGCTCAATATTCAATTACAGAATCATTGGCCTGATTCTTCTTCAATAACCTGCTTCAGAAACCTATTGTCCAAATTTGTTTTAAGTGTTCAGCACTTGGGCTAGAGGCAAGTTCTTTGTGGACTGCTTATGTTTGGATGGGAAAACGAACAAGTTCTAGCTGGAAAAGATGCAGAAGATGGTTCTAGAGTACTTCCTGTATTTCAGTAGCAGAATTCCTCTCCCCTACCTCCATAGGATGGTCTGTTCCCTTCTCTCAGTGATACTACGGCATCTTCAAATAAAATTATGAAAGCAAGAGTTGTGTTCTTGTGCTTCACCGCTTTGAAGAAAGCCTGTTCTGGGGTCTCATGACAGCACGTGAGTATCATCATTAACTCAACATAAGGCCCTTCAAAGTTGCATTTCCCTGCATCACAGGATGTATTATAATCTGAGAACACAACCTACTCTCAGGCTGCTCAAATCAATGGTGCCACCACTCTCTTATGTATCCCTACAGCCACCCCGACAGCCAGAGAAAATGGATGATCTTATCATGAAGAATGAAAACCCCTTCTGTGTGTTGGGACTACTATTAACCAGTGCCCAGCCTGGCAGCTGCAGGGATGGACATAGGCCTACAAGTTGCTGCGAGCCTCCTGCCCCTTACCATAGCAGACTGTCAACAAAAGATGTGAGACCGCCTGCTTAAATCCTCGACCTATGGCTGGCTGTTGCCTCAGGTTTTTTAAGCTGAACTTGCTCTTCAGATTCAACAGTCTACTAGACAGGGTCTTGGTACATCCTTCTAAATAAAAGCGCTCATGTTCCCAAGAAGCTAGAACAGAGCCATAGTTGAGACACAAGAGCATTGTAGCTCTGTCCTGTGGCAAAGGCCCCCCTGTAAAATGCAGATGACACCTTCCGTACCTACTCCCTAAATGTCTGAGAAAGAGCAAGTGATTTAAAACAGAACAAATTTTTCTCCTCTAAATGATTTTTATCAACAAATAGACATCAATTTTTGGGGGGTTATGCACCCTGCATACAAAGCACTAAATTTGTCGTTTCCACTTCATGGAGTTTTGCTAAACACCCCTAGCCTTAGAGGTCAAGCCCCCTGCCCCTTGCCTTAAAAACAAACAAACAAACAAACAAACAAACAAACAAAAAAACCTCTAAGTTCAGTCTCTCAGTTAAGAGCTACCTACATGCCATTCGAAAAAGTTCTCATAGGACCCTGGCACAACAGCCCAGCACCTCCACCCCCAGCTCCCTTTACAAAATGTGCTTCCGTTATGGCTGGCACAGTGGAATTAACACCGTGGGCTCTGTAGTTCATTCTAAAATCCCACCATTCAGCTCACCACTCAGCCTTCAGAACTTTTCCCAGTGCCTCTGAGCATGGAATACCACCAGCAAGGGTTACTGAATCTGGATAGGTGGATTGCATGCAAGCTGCTAGATCTTTAATCACTTCAAGACATTATTTAAATCACTTTCATTCTTTAATTTTTATGTTTTATCTAAACTTAAAAGGAACGCAATGATTTGCACAACTTGTAATCAGTGCAGAAAAAGTAAAGTCGATTACTTTACAGTGAGTCCATCCTAATGAAACCTGACTCATTTTTATTAAAAAAGAATTGCAAAGGTACACTTTGTTCACAGCTGCTCCGCAGAGTAACTCAAGCATTGATACTTCTCATGACTGAAGTATTTCAGCTCATTAAGAATGGTAGAGTTACAATACTTCATTTTGAAACTTTAAACAATGCAACGCTGGACCATAAAAGTGTGCAAAACTTAAAATTACCATGAATAGGAATAAACTCACTGTCCACTCACAGTCTACTGGCTCTTTGTCCTCACTCAGCCTCTACTTCACTCTACCAGAAGTGAAGATCCTTCTGGAGAGTCAGAGGATACAGGATAAGAAGGATACCCTAAGAAAATGACATGCCCTGAACAGTTCACAAGAGCTTCTTGAGAGAGGTGCTGGGGATGGGGCGTACACACATGGTATGCTAATTTCTTGAATCATAATTTCTATAATTAAAATGCCTAATAAAAAGAGAGGGAAGCTAAGCTAGAGAGGAGCCACATTAAGGAAGAAAATCAAACACATAAACACAAATCAGACTTTTATTGATTTGGTTGCAGGGAACTTCCACACACTGTAACTAGCATGCCTATGTTTGACCAGACCATTCTGCCATGTGGCTTTCTGTCAAGAAACGGATGTGTGACTGCCGGATTTCCAATGTGTCCTTTATGTAACTAAGAACTTATACATTGGGAAAATTAGGGTCCCTAAATTGAATGGCTTCGTTAAACATGAGCACCTCATTGCTTGGGGGCTGTTACCATCATTTAAAAAGGATGCTAAATAAACTACACATGCTATAAAAAACAGGTTACACAACGCAGTGCAGTATCCAGAAAAACCAGTAGGTGGCGCGCTAAAACAGGTATTAGTGAGTAAGACAGACGGTAATGAGTTTGCCAGCTTCAGGGTCTTTAAACCTAGTGGGTTTTAACCACCCTCAGGAATTCTGTTAACCATTTTATGTGGGTATCACAGAGATGAGGAGGCCCTAAATGTGGTTCTGTTTTTCCTTACAACTATTTTCCAATCATAAACACATTTACATCTTAGTTGTATGTAGCTGAGCAGACCTACATTCTAAACAAAGCAATCCCAGGGTAACAAAACTGCATTTAGAAGAGCAAACAAGGGCAAGACTGATTTTAAGATGACTTCTAAGTTATTGTAGTGCTTAAAAGCAAGAATATAGAACCATTATCATTGCCAAAATAATTTCCCACAACTGGAACAAATGTCACCCTCCCTAACTATGTAATTTTGCTGGGAAAGGCCAAAACAACTGAATTTTCCTCGAAAACAAACAGACTGCAGATTTTCATTTACTCCCTTTTACACTTATACTTCTGACTTTTCATGTCAAATAAAGGCAAGGTTTTTGCCAGAATGCAAAAACCTGTATGTGTGCATTTAAAAGCCTGGTGAGTCACTGACATGAAGTTTCAGCAGCCAGAGTCCCACATCATCGTTCCATCTGACAACTACTTTATGAAAGCCTGCAAGGAGCTCACGATGGCACCAAAGTGCCTTAGAAAGTAGCTTGCCTTGAAGCCAGAACATGTTTTACCATGAACCACCTTGTAAATGACAGCTCTTTCTTGAGGGGTGCAGGGAAAGGAGAGAGGGGGAGAGAGAAAGAGAAGAGAGTGTCCAGAGCAGTTTCTTGGTGACACAGCAGAATTTTCCTGACAGGCTTCCCCTTTAATGCCTGTGCCTATTCCTCTTTCCAGATATTCAAAGAGTACCTGAATTAGCTCCCTCAAGCCATCCTGACAACAGGGCTCTAAATTACCTGACTTTCCAGACAAACCTTTGTTTTCTCACTACCTCAAACAGGTAGGTGGTGAAAGGAGAAAAACAGTAGGTGCCACCCAGGGCCCCCCTCCACCCCCAAAAAACACCCATCTCTAAGGGTTCAGAAGCCCAGACTTTGGATACTAAAAGAAAGAAGCATGTTACTGTCCCCTACTCTTTATTCCCAAGGAACTTCAGGGAAAAAGAAAAATTAATAACAATA